ATTTTTTTAAAAGGTTATTTTTTTATGATGAAAAATAAAAGAACATTTATATTTTACTAGCTGTTATCCCCGACTTCACGCGCGCGACAAAAGGGAATTAACAACAGTTTTTTATTAAACACCAGAATATCTCGCAGATGGCTGATTTCTTTCCTACGTAGTTGAGACTTATCACCTATGTTTTGGACAATTCACACAATATCTTTATGTGTTGTAGCCTATGTGTTATTCTTATGTATGAGCTATATTTTTTTTATTTTTTTTTTTTTTTTTTATGGGAATAGGAGGCAAACGAGCATGTGGGTCAATCACCGCAGCCCATGGACATTTGCAACATCGGTTGAGTCGCAATTGCGTTGCCGGCCTTTAAGGAAGGAATAGGCTCTCTTCTTGAAGGTCCCTAAGTCGTATCGGTCTGGAAATACCGCTGGCGACAACTCGTTCCACAAAAATTATTATTGTAAGGTTTCGTTAAATCTATTCAGCACTTTTGTGTGAAAGAGCAACAAACATCCATTCATACATACAAACTTTCGCCTTTATAATATTAAGTAAGGATTACCATCTTATGAATTCTAGAATCATGTTGATATAGATTTAAATATATTTGGAATGTAGCGAATTGAACTTGACAACGACAAACAAGAATTATGTGTTTTTCTTGTTTGTATCAGCACTAGTTTTAGTTTCGGCATTAGTTCTATTCACTCACCACCCGTCGTTTTTAAAATTTGTAATTATTTTTATATCAGAATGTATTTAAAACGGCCATCATATAAAGAAACAAAGTATTTTAGCAGTTAATCTTGTTTATTAAACAAAAAAACAAACTGACGATGGTACAGATACGGATAAAATTTGGTTTAATATTAAAAAAAATATTCAGAACTGCAGATATTCAAAAGGATATCTGGTTAGATTGAAAAGAAGTATTACATAAAAACTTTCATAAAACGTGCGCGCAGTTCAATAAAGACAATTTAATATGGAGTCATACTTTGCTTTAATCTTATTTCTTTTCAAATATAGATATTCTATTTTCATTGTACAATTTTAAACCGTATTACACTTCAGAGTAATTGCTACCAAGCTATGTAAGGATCGCAATCACTAGACTATCAGTTTGATAGTCTAGTGATTGCGAAATCAGGCTTTCGCCTCTTGGGTTGTGAGTTCAAGCCGAAAATAATAGCAATATCGAAATTAACTTTTACGAATTTCATACATACATTTCATACTTTTGTAATCTAATGTAAATTGAGGATTAAACATTATTTCGATGATATCATATTTTTGACTGAACGTATATGTAATTGTTCACCTTATTTAACTTTACTGTAATGTGTATATTACTGTACGATGTTATGTGTATTGAATAAAATAAAGTAAATAAATAAATATAATAATGTATATCATAAAATAATAATCGATACTTCCATCTTGAGGGGGACTGGAACAGACAGAAAAAATATCATTTAGCAGAGGGGAAAAAACGACTAAACTACGTTCGTTTTATCATTCATATACAAGGTCCCGAAGCAACAAATCATTTATAATTATTCCAGTGGAAGCAGGGTCTACATTAACGTAATTAATATGCCAACCACTTCGTAAACACTATCTGGGCTAAGCACATAAATTATAGAGATATCGGATTAATCTAAATGTATGGACATATCAAACGCAAATTCCAGTAAGTAATAGCAATTATTGAATGTTTATCCACCGTTTCAGTTTTCTCAAATTATAAAGTGAAAGTGAACAATAAAAAAGTGATAGGAATTAAAAGTGATTTAGTTATATTGATTTTTGATTATTGATTTTAGTTGATTTTGTTTAATGTAACTTAGTTAGATTTAATGTTGTAAGTTTATAATCAATTGATTTTATTTAATTAATAATTTAAATAATAAATATTTTTAATAAATAATAAAATAAATGTCTACAGTAAAAGTTATTTAGTTCTCGCGCCGTGAAATTATGGGCCGCTAATCTCAGCTGTCAAGCTTCGCGGACACTCTCTGGGCGCGTTACTCAGACGACGCAGGATCAAATCCCTAGCTGACAGCCCTAGAACATTATTGGATAATTTTCTACAAAAAAAATCTCTGAGGCGATAGAAGTAAGACTGTAACGTAAGGTTTATATAAATTGTATAACATAAACAGAGAAAAAAAGTATTGCAAGGAAAGGAAGTTTAAATCAATAATCCAGATACAATTAGGCCTAATAATCATCATAAACGATTGCGCTATCTATTCTTATGTAAGAATTGAACATGTGCTTCGTAAAATTAGAAAGTACGATATTTATTTATTTATATCATATGTAATATGTTATCATGTAAAACTTTTATTTGGATTGTATTACGCTTAATGCCTTTTAATTTCACACTTTTATTGCTTCGCTAAGGATGGGATGGTGTAGAGAATTTTCGGAGGAAGTAGTTTTGTTAATAAGTTTTTAGAAGTCATGTTCGCTTTCCGCTACCTTAGCTGACTGTAATCTATTGATAAGGGCTGTTCCATCTTTTATCCTTGTATGAAATTAGTTAAACAAATTTCATAACTGCAGCATAACATTTAAAGTGTAATTATAAACATAATTCTGAAGTTATACCATTATATTAAAAATAAGTTCCTTTGAACATGCTTAATAACAATAACACAGAAAATGCTATAAGGAGTTTTACATAAATTGCCCAATTTGTCTTGGCCTTTCGCTGTAACCCAAACAAGTAAACACTCCAAACTGTTAAGCCACAAACTAAATTGTTCAAGTTATAAATAGTTTGGTCAGTTAATTCGTTGAAGAAGGTAATAAGATAATTTGCTTGGACTGTTGTGCGACCCTTAAATCTGACCCCTGTACAAAACAACCAACTGAAACGGGTATTACCGAGTTCATTATAAGGATTGTTGGAGCTTGTTATAATTCTAACTCATATTCTTAAGGTACTACAAATATAGTATTGTCACACAATATTCACTTAAGTGAGTATAGCTGTATACTTACTATATATTAATTAAAATGAACAATGGGCATTGAGTTTTCCGTTTCTAGTGTCTTACAAATTAAACGTGAAGAGATAACTTAAAAGATATGTCCAGGAAAATATTCAGAAACTACTTCAAATACCGCGAGTTTAAGTTACTGTTAAAATCTGCGTGAAGTGGTGTTATACTTCTACGTTAGTTGGGTGAGGGAAATGGGGATCACTTCATCAAAAGGTGGCAACGCATGTGCTGCAGATATTGCAAATGTACAAAGGCAGCATGTGTTGCCGCTTAACATCAGGTGAACCACCAGCATACTTGATATAAAAAAGGAATTTATGTCATGTGTTAAACAGAGCCTACAGTTTGTCTTTAAACATTAAGGACAACAAAAGAAAATCAAACGTTGTTTGCAGGAAACGAGACAGCGCGGCATCCGTCTTGTTTAGATTCGTCCGACGCGAAGTGAACAACGCTAAAAAATGTCACGCGGCTGCCGTAACGAGATAAAGTTTAAATTGCGGGGCCGCGCCGCCGCGCCGTGTTGCCGCCGCGACGTAATGTTTGACTGCAATAAAAATGTGTACAGAAAGAGAAACTGGAAGAGCGCAGCGCACTCATTAACCTCAAGCCGTTATGAGGGCGAGCAGACAAGGCCCCTCGAATGCGCGGGGTCGGCCCGGCGAAGATATTACCACCCTCCCAGCGCAGACGCCTTTTGTGAGACGCGTTTTGATGCCTACCTAAACTTTTCGCTTTGCACTTTAGTTGTGTTAATTTTTTTTCCTTGAAATTCTCCTTCCTTGAAGTGCTCTACCGTTCGTTTAACAGGTAGTGTAGACGTGGTCCATGATTACGATTATATTTAGGGGGATACAGCACATTGAACAAGTTTAAATGAAGCACATTTCGTCGTCGTGTCTAATTGTTTATTGAAATAGTACGATAAATAAGCGAGTTGAAACACCAATTCAAGATAATGTATGGTCCAAGTAAAATATTTAATTTAGAACAATAGTTGTAAGAAGTCATTCACAACACATTCTTAACATAAGATAAATATCATGATTTATGCTTTCAGGCATCGATATTTCGATTGCATACCTATCGAATTTAAAGAAATGAGAGTATTTTTCAAAAATTACTTTTTTTTTCTAAATTATATTTATAATTCATAATTAATATGAAATTCGTAGCTACTTGCATTGTACGGTGCGTGGTGTTGATTCCAAATTAAAGCATTAAAAGCCCGGAGCGAATGACTAGGGAAAACGTTATGGCTATAAAGAGAAACACCCCATTGCCTTGGAAATTATATGTGATGTTGGGAAGAAAATCGAGCTTGTTAACTATAAGCGCTATAACTGTTGTGCGACCCTTAAATCTGATCCCTGTACAAAACAACCAACTGAAACGGGTATTACCGAGTTCATTATAAGGATTGTTGGAGCTTGTTATAATCCTAACTCATATTCTTAAGGTACTACAAATATAGTATTGTCACACAATATTCACTTAAGTGAGTATAGCTGTATACTTACTATATATTAATTAAAATGTACAATGGGCATTGAGTTTTCCGTTTCTAGTGTCTTACAAATTAAACGTGAAGAGATAACTTAAAAGATATGTCCAGGAAAATATTCAGAAACTACTTCAAATACCGCGAGTTTAAGTTACTGTTAAAATCTACGTGAAGTGGTGTTATACTTCTACGTTAGTTGGGTGAGGGAAATGGGGATCACTTCATCAAAAGGTGGCAACGCATGTGCTGCAGATATTGCAAATGTACAAAGGCAGCATGTGTTGCCGCTTAACATCAGGTGAACCACCAGCATACTTGATATAAAAAAGGAATTTATGTCATGTGTTAAACAGAGCCTACAGTTTGTCTTTAAACATTAAGGACAACAAAAGAAAATCAAACGTTGTTTGCAGGAAACGAGACAGCGCGGCATCCGTCTTGTTTAGATTCGTCCGACGCGAAGTGAACAACGCTAAAAAATGTCACGCGGCTGCCGTAACGAGATAAAGTTTAAATTGCGGGGCCGCGCCGCCGCGCCGTGTTGCCGCCGCGACGTAATGTTTGACTGCAATAAAAATGTGTACAGAAAGAGAAACTGGAAGAGCGCAGCGCACTCATTAACCTCAAGCCGTTATGAGGGCGAGCAGACAAGGCCCCTCGAATGCCGCGGGGTCGGCCCGGCGAAGATATTACCACCCTCCCAGCGCAGACGCCTTTTGTGAGACGCGTTTTGATGCCTACCTAAACTTTTCGCTTTGCACTTTAGTTGTGTTAATTTTTTTTCCTTGAAATTCTCCTTCCTTGAAGTGCTCTACCGTTCGTTTAACAGGTAGTGTAGACGTGGTCCATGATTACGATTATATTTAGGGGGATACAGCACATTGAACAAGTTTAAATGAAGCACATTTTATCGTCGTGTCTAATTGTTTATTGAAATAGTACGATAAATAAGCGAGTTGAAACACCAATTCAAGATAATGTATGGTCCAAGTAAAATATTTAATTTAGAACAATAGTTGTAAGAAGTCATTCACAACACATTCTTAACATAAGATAAATATCATGATTTATGCTTTCAGGCATCGATATTTCGATTACATACCTATCGAATTTAAAGAAATGAGAGTATTTTTCAAAAATTACTTTTTTTTCTAAATTATATTTATAATTCATAATTAATATGAAATTCGTAGCTACTTGCATTGTACGGTGCGTGGTGTTGATTCCAAATTAAAGCATTAAAAGCCCGGAGCGAATGACTAGGGAAAACGTTATGGCTATAAAGAGAAACACCCCATTGCCTTGGAAATTATATGTGATGTTGGGAAGAAAATCGAGCTTGTTAACTATAAGCGCTATAACTGTTGTGCGACCCTTAAATCTGATCCCTGTACAAAACAACCAACTGAAACGGGTATTACCGAGTTCATTCTAAAAGATTTTAGATCTATTCAGAAAATCGAGCTTGTTAACTATAAGCGCTGGAGCGAAACTAACGTTTACTGAATAGACTTTTAAATGTTGGCGCAAGTTAGAAGCGCCCGAGATAAATTTAGAGTGGTAAAGAAACGTGGCGAATAATGAACTCTTCAAAAGTACACCTTTAAAAATTAACAGACCGACGGGAATTGGTAACAAACCGGAAGAAATAAATTTGCAATATGAACTTCTTCTATTCAATCGAGAGACCATTGCAGCATTTAATTTGTTGTAACGAGAGAAAGTAAAAAAGGTAGGTAAATAATTAAAAACGAACTCAGAGCTATTTAAATATTATAATCATATTGTTTTTTTTTTAAAGAAAAAACATTGCCCTTACTTTAGGATAACTTTATCCTGTGTTGTAAGGACGTTTTACATACATTCATTTCAGGCGGACAAACACCCAGATGCGAAACAACTATCTGTGGGTCGTACAATTATTTGTCCCGTGTGGGAATCGAACCCATGACCCTCGACGCCGAAGCCAATACCTTGGCACTGCGTCGCGGAGTCACCGAATTATTAAGACAAGTCTAAGGATACTGTTTATTATTCATTCATTCATTCATCTCATAATAAATATGTTCTTTTCATTCATTCACTCTCTTCCGCCCAGGCATCGACAGTTGACTAAGTGCTCTATACAAATATTTAAATAATAAGTGATTAAAGTGAATAAACGTGCTAAATTGTAAAACCAGTGACTTTGGATAATCCATTCCTAGCCCTAATATATCAATTAGTTCAAACATTAACATTATTTTTGGTCCTTCGAGTTTTTTGAAATTCCTGCTTCGTGTTTCAAGATCACCATTTTATTATCGCAATGATCGACGCGTCGTCAGTTTCGTGAACAATTTAGCTCGTGAAATCATTCGACAGGTCACTCATTGTTCGTTCCTGTGGTGCTGCGCTCTGCCGGCGGGAAGAAGCAATCTCATAGAATATTCGATTTTTCGCAACAGCGACATCCGGTGTTCAACGGCGCACACGCCAAATCCATCGAGCACCGGTACTATTTTATCGACCGGACAGCTCCCACTACCAATCATCGTCAAAAGGCGAACACGCCAACCAATCAGAAGATTTTACGGTTTTATCATTCGTTCAGCGTGACGTATACGATAGACTTTGTTACTTCGCTCGCTTCGCTACTATTCTATCTACAATTTTCTACATTAATACAAGTATCCGTGTGATTAACTAAAAAATAAGCCTATTCATCCTTCAGTTATATTATTAGCAATACTTGTTGAACAAGTTGTTGAACATTAACCTGTGCGTTTTATCGATGAAAGTTGATGGTGTGCAGCCATTTCCACTCCTACGCATTTCTGTGTCCGTGTCGCCACGAAGCTCAAAATGGCTGCATCTCAAGAATTTTACAAATCAAAACGCGCGACCATCAAGGGAAAACTCACAAGAATAGCGAACTTCCTTAAGAGTTTTGATGAGAAAACTAACACTTTTGCTGAAATCAAAGCGCGTCAAACGGAATTGGTGAAAATATTCACTAGTTTTGATGAAGTTCAATCTGCGATCGAGGAATTCGATTATGAGTTACCCGAGAAAAGGGAAGCCCACGAAAAGGATAGGGAAGAATTTGAGGCAAAATACTTCTCTACAACATCACAAATGGAAGCCCTTTTAACCAAGGACTCGATAAGAACGTCAGATAATGAAAAGCCGCGTGTAAAATTACCACAGTTGGAGATCCCAAGGTTTGGGGGTGATATACAGCAATGGCCGGCCTTCAAAGCATTCTTCATGTCGACAGTCGACGAGGGCAACTTACCAGTAATAACGAAGCTACAGTACCTAAAGTCTTCACTGGTATGTGAAGCTGCTGGTCTAGTCTCTTCGCTTCATATAACAGAAGAAAACTACTGTAAGGCTTTGGAAATCTTATCCCATAGGTATGAAAATCTAATTATAATCGTGAACTTTCATCTGAAAGCAATTGTGAATTTTGGCAATATTACAAGGTATAACTTAAAAGACTTTTTAAATACTCTACAGCAAAGTTTAGATTCATTAAGAGCTATAAAATTGCCCGTTGACAGCTGGGATGCTATTTTGGTATTTTTTATATGTCAGAAATTGGACAATTCACTACGTGCTGCGTGGGAACTTAACCGTAAGGAGAATTATATTCCTACTATGTTTGAATTGCTTGAGTTTTTGAATGCACGCAGAACTGCTTTTGAAATGTTAAATAATGATAAAACTATAGATAGACCTAATTTTGAAATGTCACATGCAACATCAGCGGTCATCAATCAGATTAACTGTGTGCTATGCCAGGGTAATCATTATTTGCATAAATGTCCTAATTATCTAGAACTATCTGTTAATGACCGCATAAGTCTCATAAGAAGTAAATCATTGTGTTTTAACTGCTTACAGCCTTACAAAGCATAACATAAGTGTTCTAAATATAAGTGCCTAACTTGCCGGGGAAGGCATCACACAAGTATACATTTAAACCAACAACAAAGGGTAAGTTATGCTTCAACTGAACCCTATAGTTTACAAGCTCAACCCTCGATAAAAACAAATATTGGGCCCTCTCAATCTCTAGCTACAAATAATATTTTTTCTACAGGTACAACTGCTAACTCTAATAACATAAATTGTTCTAAAGGACAACTACATGCTCCTACCACTCAATTGCTACCACAAATGCTTCAAGCTCAATCGCAACTACATGCAAACACAGCTCAGTCACAAAAGCTTTAAGCTCAATTGCTACTACCTGCAAACACAGCTTCATCACAAATCATGCTTACTCCTACAATGCCGCAGCTATTACAAAATACATCGCACAACAGCACTTCTACAGTTCTTATGTCCAATACTAATCAGCAACAAATACTGCTTTCCACAGCCGTAATCCAGATTCAAGATGCTTCAGGCAGATGGATAATTGCACTAGCTCTCCTAGACGCTGGCAGCGAGGTCAACATTGTGACCCACAGACTGGCCTCGTTATTACAAATTGACATAAAGGATGATGCCTATACCATTCATGGGATTGGTAACAGTGTAAAGAAATCACAAGGTACCATACAAACTAGCATTTCATCTCACTATAATGATTTTAAAGCAGATCTCACATTTGTGGTTATGGACAATATTGCTTTGCCCCTACCACACAACTACATTCATACTAACACATGGAATATTCCTACAAAACAAGCATTTGCTCTTGCTGACCCTACTTTTTTCATACCAAGTAGAATTGATATACTGATAGGTGCTGAATTATTCTACACTATATTGCTATTAGGCCGCATAAAGCTGGGTACACCTTTCTTAATTGAAACCACATTTGGATGGGTAGTGTCAGGTTCATACCTACCAAATATTAAGGAGCATACACATTACACTAATGCATATTTTAGCATGCATTCATCATCATTAACCACAGATGACATACTCCAATCATTCTGGAATCAAGAAGAGCCACTACCAACCAAGAAGCCTCTCTCTCCTGATGATAACTATTTTGAAAATGTATACACATCCACTACCACACGTGACAGCACTGGTAGGTACACAGTGAGTTTGCCAATTCAATTAGACAAGCTGGACAACTTAGGTAACTCATTTAACACTGCCTATCATTGTCTATTAAAATTAGAATCAAGACTTAGTAAAAATCTTGATCTGTTTACACAATACAAAGCATTTGTTAGCACAATACAAATGAGTTCATAGAACTTGGACACGCACACTATGTCCCTAACTTTTCTCCTACAGATCAGCATGCCTATTATATGCCACATTTACCTGTAATCAGGTCTGAGAGTGTCTCGACTAAGGTTCGTTCAGTATTCAATGCTAGCTCAAAGACTTCAAGTGGCTTATCACTCAATGATATACTCTATGAGGGTCCCAACATTTACAATGATATATATGACATCATACTAAGATTCAGACTGTATAGATACGCTTTCACATGTGACATCAATAAAATGTATCGAAACATTCGCATAAACCCTCTACAGACTCCTCTGCAAAGGGTGTTATGGCGCAATTCAAAGTCTGAGTCACTACTATGCTTGGAGTTAGATACTGTTACTTATGGTACTAAAAGTGCGCCCTATCTTGCATGTCGCACAATGTTAGACTTAGCTGATAAATATAAGGACACTCACCCTCTAGCTGCAGATTGTGTGAAGTCTAACTCATATATGGATGACTTTCTTTGTGGAGCTCAGACAATAGCACAATGCATAAAGCTATGCGCTGAACTTTCTGATTTATTAAGTAAAGCAGGCTTTCAACTACACAAGTGGTCAGCTAATCACACGGACATATACTCGCATGTTATAAAGTTTAATTTTTCTAAGCAAAAGTTAAAACTCTAGGTCTTCAATGGTTACCTACACAAGACACACTTAATGTATGTATTCCAGATTTAAAAGTAAACATTCCATGTACTAAAAGAAATGTTTTATCTCAGATAGCTCAGATATTTGATCCTATAGGTATACTTACTCCCACCACTATCATAGCAAAAATACTAATGCAGGATATTTGGAGGCAAAATATTGAGTGGGATTCATTTATTTCAGAAGATTTAATTACAATTTGGCAAGATTTTATATCTCAATTACAGGATTTGAAATCAATTCAAATTCCAAGGTATTATTTCTCAGATATACCTACACAGATTATTTTAGTAGGTTTTAGTGACGCCTCTAATAAAGCCTATGGTGCATGCCTGTACCTAAGAGCTATATACCCTAACAAGGAGCCAACAAGTACATTTGTGACCTCAAAGTCCAAAGTTGCTCCGATTAAAAAACAACAGTCTATTCCCAGACTAGAGTTGTGTGGAGCGCAACTTTTAGCTAAATTATTTTCCAGATTCAAAAATTCAACTGACAATAAGATTAAAGTACAAACTTTCTATCTGTTTACAGATTCATCTATCGTTTTAAGTTGGATCAAGGCCCCATACAAAAACAAACATGATACGTATGGCACACATCGGTTAATGGGCATTATCAACATCACTAACAGTGAGCACTGGCATTATGTAAACACCAAACATAACCCTGCAGACTTAATTACACGTGGAGTCATGCCCAGTGCACTACCATCATGCTCACAGTGGTGGCAAGGTCCCTTGTGGCTAATCCAGGATCCCAGCCTATGGCCAACCACTGACACACAAAATAGTGAAGCTACACAAACACAACACAAGGAAAATATACCTATAACACAAATTGTTAATGTTTGTTCTCAGATTGATGATTATTCACTTTTTAATTTTTTTGAATTTTGAAATTTTTGCAAAATACTCTAATTTTACTAAATTAAACAGAGTGATTGCATACTTATTTAGATTTATACATAACCTGAAAAACAATGATAAAAAATTTACTTCACACTTATCTCTATCAGAGCTCAGAAGATCTCATGACTTTATAATACTGACAACACAACATCATTCATTTCCAAAGGAAATTCAAGAACTAAAAAACATTCAGTGTAACACACATAATCAAACTAACATACCACAAAAGTTATATACATTTACATCCAGTCCTCTAAGAAAACTAAATCCATTTTTAGACGACAACAACATCCTGCGAGTAGGTGGACGTATCAAGCATTCAGACATACCATACAATCAAGCACATCCTATTATACTACCTAATAAAAACCACATAACCTTATAATAACACATTATTATCACACCAAATTACTACATGCTGGTCTGCAAAACACACTATACAATATTAGACTAAAATATTGGCCCATCAATGGCAGGCGTGAAGTCAAAAAATGTATTCACTCCTGCATTAGATGTATTAGGTACCGAGGATCAGTCTGTGGGCAGCAAATGTCAGATCTACCTGCTCCAAGGGTAACTTTAACTCGTGCATTTACCCATGTAGGCATGGATTTAAGTGGAGCCATTGCTATAAGAAATTCTATAGCTAGGAATTGTAGGTATTCTAAAGGATACATATGTTTATTTGTGTGTATGTCAACTCGCGCAATTCATTTAGAGTTGGTTAATGACCTATCTTCTCAAGCCTTTATATGTGCTTTAAAAAGGTTTATTTCTAGACGAGGGATTCCTAACTGTTTATACTCTGATAATGCAACTAATTTTAAGGGTGCAAGATCTGAACTGTTCGAGTTATATAAGATGTTTAAAAATGATAAATGTTACAGTGATATAATAGATTTTTGTACCTCAAACCATATTGAGTTTAAATTCACCATTCCATTAGCTAGCCACATGGGTGGTATTTAGGAAGCAGGTATAAAATCTGTTAAAACTTTGCTTAAACGGTTTCTATTTAGTACTAAACTAACCTATGAATTACTGTATACTTTGTTAGTTCAAATAGAAGGGATATTAAACTCCAGACCTTTATACCCAATCACAGATCTACCTAATGACCTAACATGTTTAACTCCAACACATTTTATTATAGGTACAGCTTTAACAGACTTACCTGAACCAAACCAACTGGATATTAAAGAGTCTAGATTAAATATTTATAGCAAAATGATACAAATCAAACAAAGGTTCTGAAAGCAATTTTATTTTAATTATTTGTCAGAGTTACAGTCAAGAAACAAATGGTTAAATGTTCAAAAAAATTTAGCTACTGGTGATTTGGTTCTTGTAAAGGACGAAGCCACTCCTCCCACTTTTTGGCCCCTAGGCAGAGTAATTACTGTGAATACTAATAAAGTCGATGGTCTTGTCAGGTCGGCGATTATTCTAGACCAATTCATAAGTTGATTTTACTGCCTAAGAAAACTGAGTAACAGCTTAGTTTGCAACTACATGATTTCCAAATCAATTTTCTATCTAGTATAAGTATTTGGGTTTTTACCTAATGTAATAATATAGGTTGCTACCTAGTATCCTATTTAGTATTAAGATATTTGCTGTTCTAAAATGTTTAGTATTAAAGTGATATTAGCTATTTTTGTAATAAAGAAATATTTCCTATTTTGTAGACAAACACCTAGTTTTGAAATATTTGCTACTTATTAATTATTTGTTGCTTTTCAAAGAGAGCCTTTAATTAGTGTTTCATTTTGGTTTTTATCATAGCTTAAGCTTATGGTTAATGTTATATAAAAATTCTACTCACTAAAATAAAAGATCAGGACTCTTAAAGTCAAATTTTATTATTGTATAAACTTAGATATAATTTTGCATTTTGAAAAAGGGCGAGAATGTTTATTATTCATTCATTCATTCATCTCATAATAAATATGTTCTTTTCATTCATTCACTCTCTTCCGCCCAGGCATCGACAGTTGACTAAGTGCTCTATACAAATATTTAAATAATAAGTGATTAAAGTGAATAAACGTGCTAAATTGTAAAACCAGTGACTTTGGATAATCCATTCCTAACCCTAATATATCAATTAGTTCAAACATTAACAGATACTTTACACATAAAAATACATCGAGCCGCTTGCTTGTGCCGACATATCATACAATAGAAGCATGCAATCTTACATATGTAATCGAAAAACATTTCCTTCGTTCTAGACAGCTCAAAAGTATCCTCACTATTAAGTTCAACATGAACAAACTGTAACTAAACAATGAATTTTAAACTTTAATCTTAAAGTAAAATAGTGAACTTAAAATCTGATTAATTTTAATGTTCCCATATCATTTGTCTTTCGGTTTCAGATTAAATAGTAAAAAATTAAAAGTAAAACCAAACTTTATATTTAAAATAAGTTATACTTTAATTTCATTTTTTAATTTGCATCACTAATTAGTTTTCGTAATCATTTTTAATAGTATAAAATTAAAAAGTAACTTGGGACGGTCAAAGTTTTCGATTATCTATTAAAAATGTGTGTAAAAAAATGTGTTTTAAAGTCTATCCAAAATGAATTATCGAGATACGCCAATTACTTGATTCTTATTTAAGGATCCTTATACAAAACCCCCTTCACAAAAGGGCAAATGTTTTAATGGAGCAAAGTTGGTGAATGTTTTCGAAATACAATTAAGTACAAATTTAGGACAAAAACTTCGCACTTTTACGCATCATAAATTTGACAGCGTTGAACGATGATCGATATAGCTTTAAAGCCCAGCTGGGACTGTTGGGATGTTAAATTAAACATCTCAAAAGTCCCCAACGTATTTAATATTATAATACTATGAAAACAATAGATCTCGTTTTAGAAACAAGCAATTTTGTGATAGACTAATAGTAATTAAATGTGACTTAAAAGATTATACTTAACTTTATTTAACCTTTTGTGTTTATAAAACGATAAACACTTCGGGATTCCAAGAGATAGTTCAAAACTCTAACTAATATTCAATACGAAAAAGACCAATAAGAATATAAACGTAGAGTAAGTTTATCGTGGGCAAAGGTTAACAAATATGCAATTTTATGTAAATGTATCTTTTTTTGAACTTGTCTTTTAGAAATTTAAATTATAACAAAAGTTTTATATTTTCGCATTAAAAACAAATAACAAAAAAGAGAACTGCGCTTTCTTCATTTAAGTTTTATGTAATATAATCTAAAAATATTATAAAGCAAAGTCGTCCCGCTGTCTGTCCCTCTATGCATGCTTAGATCTTTAAAACTAGGCAACGGATCTTGATGCAGTTTTCTTTACTAATTAGAGTGATTCAAGAGGAAGGTTTATATGTATAATACATTGCACCCGTGCGAAGCCAGAGCGGGTCGCTAGTATAATACATAACACAGCGTCAATAAACGTTTCTTCTTCTTCTTCTTCTTCTTCTTCTTCTTCTTCAAATGGGCGACAAGTAAAGGGAAAATTGTTAAAAGTAAAAAAGTTGCAAATTAGGGTAAATTTTCAACTTTTTTTTTTTCAGAACTTGTAAGTATCACAAGTTTTCGCGAAAATTGCCCATAATTTTTTATTGTGTTGACTCATGACTGATTTTTATACACCTAATAGAGACTATAGACCTCAGTATCTGCTATAAATTTCCACGTTCCAGATCCACCCATTGGTATTTTACTTTTAAGGTTTTAAGAACCTATAAACTTAAAAACAAATTTCTTATAATATTTTGAAACCTTAGAGGTTTGTTTATTGAAAACAAACCTCTAAGGTTTCAAAATATTCCAAAAACTCAGACGCAATAGTTATCGGTATTAACATTAACGTTTGTAACGAATATTTAAATTTTGCTCCAAAAAATAATCATTATAGTTTATCATTAGTTTGGGATCCATTGTTAATGTTTCGTAGTTTGAGGTTAGTTATAAAATTTTGTATTGATATTCATTACTATTTTCTTATTTTTAAGACGTGTATTGTAACTTACTTTTGCATCTACTTAGATAGATAAATAAATAAATAAATAAATAACACAATTCAGAATATTATTTGTAGTCCAATTAAGTCATGTGGACTCCAATAAATTTAATGCGAACAAGATTTAAATATTTAAAGTAACGAAACCAAAGTTATCTATAAATATACATGCGCCGTATAGGATTAACTGTATCGAATGCCATCCCAAGCATCCTAAACCCGGATTACTTAGTAAATGTATGCGATCAATACATATTTACATGACAACATACGGTTTTTCTTCTATAGAAACTTCTCTTTAAGTCGGATATTTGGTAAAATTGCCATTAACTTTATTTTATTTATTTTTATACATATATTCTTTCCCTATGTAGAATTAATTTTGGGAGGCTATTTCTTGTGGTATGGACGGTTTGAGGCTATGAGGGTTGATCTCCTTGTATATTGAAAACTCAGGGATTCTCTTAGCAATATTTCATGCAGACCGATGATCTGATCTTCAACTTTATTATAAACGTTGAAACGGGGTTACCATTAGTAATTTGCAATTTCTTCGTTAATTCTATTCACTACAGATCTCAATTTCCATCTTCGGATAGAAAGTTTTGACGATGTCTCGATGTCTTTTAAGTGCTTATAAAGTTGTTTTATAGAACGGATAGTTGTCCTTTCCCAAAGCATATCATAACCAACCAAAAAAAAGTTCAGTAAATTGTTGCTTGTTTTAAAACGCCGCAGTCGAAATGACTACCTATGTCGTTTCAGACTACTGTGCAGAGTAGCGGTCATGCCATCGCCGGGAACTATTTTTGAATTCGAAACAAATGATCCGAATGTATCTGTGTGTGTGTTCGCTTA